GCATAAATATATACTAAAATAGATAATTATAGTATTTCAATATATATATATCAAAAAACAGAACAATAGATATCTAAGTGTATTTCGGCATAAATGTATACCAAAATAGATAATTATAGTATGGTCACACTAATATTGAGGACGAAAATATTCAAAGGAAAGAAGGTGGTGATGGAAACTAGGTCTATAGTGATGGTGATCGAGGGAAATGAAGAATAATAAGGGAGAAAGATAGAGAGATATTAAAGAGATATTGATTTCGGCATAAATTTATGCCGAAATAGAGAGAGGGTGACCGACCGCGGTGGATGCCAAGACCTTGCTGACTAATATGGCGGTGGCGAAGCGATGGCGAGAGCCGGCGACGACGAGGTCGGAAGATCTTTTGAGAAGGGGGGACAGGGTCGGGCGAGGATGAGAATGCTCTCGAGGGAAAAAGATCGCGATTATCCCGTGGATTGGTCTAACCCTAAGGCGAAGTCACCCATTAGACACACGACGTACTAGGGGAGGACCGTTACGATTTCACATTCGGCGAAGAACCGGACTCGAGCGACTCTGAGCCTGAGTGTGACACCGTGTTGTTCCACGGGTACTGTCACGCGGTTATCGAGACACCGAACTGGATCTACTACGAGGAAGGAGTACCCGGGACGCGTATGGTCAACAACGGGCTCAAGCTAAACTATGCTTAGGAGCAGGAGGAAAGGAGGCCAGTACCCATATGGCGATGCTTTAGGTGCCCAGGCCTAGCTCCTCATACACATCAGACTAATACCGAAGAACCCTACTTCTTCCCATTCAAAGAACGTGATGATCTAACCCCAAAAGAGATCGACCAAGACGTGACGGGACACTACATCGAAGGAGAAAGGACGAGGGACGTTATGGTCATAAGAACACATCATTAGGTCCAGATAGCAGAAGGGGTCCGGAGGTACAGCCCCTACACTAACCCAAATGCCCACTGGGTTTCTATGATCTTATGCTTGTGTCACGATGAGCGGTGTCCGCACGAGGGAGAACACACACACGATGTGATTGGGAGCGAAACACACTACCTACTATATAAGTCGGAAGATCTCATGGTAATCAGTACCCCTGAAGAATCCGATGAGGATGACTCGTTCAAGTTTGTCGTTACCAAGACAACTAAAACACACCTCTGGTTCTCAACCCCATTTTGGAGGCCAGTAAAATATGAGCGGACAAACTGCCTGAACGGAGCATCACATTACCACCCGGAGTTCGACCCCGAAACAAGCGAAAAGAACAAAATCCTCATGTTAGCCAAAAAGTGGTGTACTGACATGACGTGCACCCATGCACCTAGGATACACGCACATCTCACGACGGAGGATGTGATCGAACCACCGATCAAGGTGCTCCTACATGTTTTCGGAAGCAGGGATACGACCATGAACGACGTGCCAAAAAACTAGGCGGAGGACCTATCATGAGGCGGAAGGTCCCGCGCAACAGAAAAGAGCCTCGGAAACGCCACATCAACATGGTATAGACTCAGCGTTCAACGCCATTGGTCTTCAGCGCCAGACTAGCTGATGAGTCTATCTAAGTAATGATCGATAGCGAAGTAAGTCGAGACTACGTGTCACCAAAAACAGCAGCAAGACTGAACAAGCAACGGAAAAAGAATTCATACCCGGTCTTTATGGTAGACGGGACGCCAGGTGAGTACGATGGCGGATAGATACGACAGGAGATTCGCGACGTCTGTCTAGAGATTAGGGAGCATAGAGAGTAGGTCGAGCTTGATGTGATGCCGATCAAGTATGATATCATCCTAGGGATGAAGTGGCTAAAAGAACACTTGTTAGTGATAGACTGGAAAGAAGGAATCTTGTCCTTTCTAAATTGCAGTCATGGGAAGATAAAGAGAAAGAAACAATTAACTTTCATTGTATCCCTATAAAGGGCGATATAGATATAACCCAGGAGAAGGGCCTTAAACAAAATACGAGAGGAAAGCCTACCTAAGGAATACAAGGACTTCGCAGACATCTTTAAAGAAAGAGAAGGCATGGCCGCGCTACCAGAGCATAAGCCATGGGACCATGAAATAACGCTCGAAGAAGGGAAAGTGTCGAAGCACAACGGTTGGCTTCGACCCTTGTCCTCAAAGGAAGAAAGCTTCCTCAAGGAGTACGTGGAGACTCACTTGAAGAAAGGCTTTATTCGACCATCCAAGTCATTCATAGCACACGGTGTGCTGTTCGCCCCAAAAAAGGATGGATCTCTTCGACTATGCATTGATTTCCGACCACTCAATACGATCACCAGGAAGAATCGGTACCCACTACCCTTGATCAAGGAGCTGCAGGACAGACTCCTTGGTGCAAAATACTTCACCGCGCTCGATATACAGGACGCCTACTACCGAGTACGGATGAAGGAAGGCCATGAATAGATGACGGCTTTCAAAACCAGCTTTGGGTTGTACGAGTATTGTGTCATGCCGTTTGGATTGACTAACGCCCCGGCATCTTTTCAGGAACTGATCAACGACACGCTACGAGAATATCTCGACGACTTCGCAGTCGTATACTTAGACGATATACTCATATTCTCGAAGACGTACGAGGAACATGTGCGGCATGTTCGAAAGGTTCTGAGGAAACTTCAGGAAAAGGACCTACCGTTGAAACTCAGCAAGTGTGAGTTTCATAAAAAACGGATTCGATTCCTAGGCCACATTATATTCGATCAGGGTATCGAAGTGGATCCCGATAAAATAGCGCCAATCAAGGACTGGCCAGAACCCAAGAATGTCACGGAAGTACAGTCTTTCGTTGGACTACTTAACTACTATCGAAGATTCATTGAGGGATTTTCGAAGATCGCAGCGCCTTTAACGAACCTTACCAAGAAGAACGTCCCGTTCAAGTTCGGACCAGAATGCAGAAAGGCATTTAAACGCCTCAAAGAAGCCATCACGACGGCGCCAGTACTTGCGATATTTGACCCTGAGCTGGAATGCCAGGTAGAGACAGATGCATCGGACGGAGCGATCGGAGCCCGCCTCACGCAAAAAGGGCCAGATGGTAAGACCCGGACAATCGCGTACTTCTCAAAGAGAATGACAGGGCCGGAGTTAAATTACGACATCCACGACAAGGAACTACTCGCTATCATGGCATGTCTCAAGGAATGGAGAGTATATCTTGAAGGCGCTAAGTATCAAGTTCAGATCTACACTGACCACAAGAACCTGTTGTACTGGACAACCACAAAAGAACTCAACCGCAGACAGGTTCGGTGGGCCGAAACATTGGCACCATACGACTTCAAGATACATCACGTTCGAGGAAAAGAAAATGCTGTGGCAGACGCGCTCAGCAGACGGCCAGATTACATGGAAAACATCAAACCAGAGCCCATGGTAGTACTCAAGGAAAAAGATGGCGCCTTGACCTACGCAACACCTGAGATAGAGGTGTTGGCTTTTATCGATATCGAGCTGATAGAAGAGCAAAAGAAAGAAATCATCAAAGGACGACACGATGATAAGTCGGCAGGACATTCAGGTATCGAGAAGACACTCGAATTAGTCACGAGGGACTTTACCTGGAAAGGGGTCAGGAAAGACATAGCAGAATACGTCAAGAACTGCGATACGTGCCACAAAGCAAAGCACGCGAGACATAAGCCCTACGGGTTACTCCAAACACCAACGATACCAGAAAAGGCGTGGCACACCATCGTATTGGATTTCATCATAAAGCTACTAAAGTCTAAAGAACCCCTCACGGGTGTGGAATTCGACAGTATACTTGTGGTAAACGACATCCTGACCAAATATGCAGAATTCATCCCATACAAGGAGTCATCGACAGCTGAAGACTTAGCGTACGCGCTATACAAGGACGTTTTCAGTCGACATGGGATGCCGGAAGAAATACGCTCGGACCGGGATAAGCTGTTCACATCGCAGTTCTGGCAATCGTTAATGGACCTCACGGGAGTCCACCAAAAGCTGTCAACAGCTTTTCACCCACAGAGCGATGGGCAGACGGAAAGAACGAATCAAACGCTGGAACAGTATTTACGGTGTTATGTTAATTTCTAGCAGAACGACTGAGTACAGCTACTACCCATAGCGCAGTTTGCATTTAACAACAAAGCAGCAGCAACAGGAATATCACCATTCTACGCAAATCACGGGTTTCACCCAAGGATAGATAAGGATGCCAGAGGCATCAAACTAATTGCAGAAAAGGCAGCAATCTCGGTTGAGAAATTACGATCACTACACGAACTTTTGAAGAAAGAACTTAAGAAAATATCACAAAAAACAGTTGAAAGCTCGAACAGACGAAGATCTGAGGGACTAGACTTCAAAGAAGGGGAGGCAGTGTACCTTCTCAGGAAAAACATCAAAACATAACGACCATCTGACAAACTAGATCACACTAAGATTGGACCTTACAAGATCAAAAGGAAACTTGGACCAGTGAACTTTGAATTGGAACTACCTGGAGGGATGAACATTTATCCAGTTTTCCACAAATCGCTTCTTGAAAAAGCATCACCGAACGCCAAACTAGGATCGGTGCTAATATATGAGGAAACCCAATAACCGATGTACGATGTGGAGGGGATCCTCGACCATTAAAAAACCAATGGAAAACTACGATACCTGGTTAAATGGTTAGGATATGGACACGAAGAAAACACATGGGAATCACCGGAACATCTCTCAGGGGACATGGTCAAGGAGTATTTGAGGAAGAAACGGAGGAGGAAACTCACTAAATATCTGACGCAACTATGAGGGGCGGTCAATCGAGATGGGGCCTTCGAAGTTTAGAAGGGCCCCCGGTGATAACTCAAACATCTCCTCGAGTTGTTTGTCATCCATGCCAATAAAAACGGTGGCTGACGCTTTTTCGGGAGGATCCACGTGATCTAAAGCATCCAGCGATTCGGCCTCCCGCACCAGCATCTGCTTCTGCTTTTCCAACAACAGGTCGGCCTCACGCTGAAGACGCTCGCGTTTAGAGTGAGCCTTATTGACGGCGGCAATCAGTTGGGCCAGCTCTGCGCCCTTTTGGCGGGCCGCCTCGACGAGGCGATTTCGTTGAGCAGTCAGGGAGTCAAACTCTTCATCCGAAAAAGTGCCGTCGCAATACTTCACGCCCTTCTTTGTGCAGGATGAACACTTGCTGCAGCCATCGAGGACGAAACAGACGGAGTTCGAGTTTTGGCAAGGTGTGCAGCGACCCATACCGGACAATTCGCGACTAAAGGACTCGATACGATCGATCAGTTTCTGACGACGGAGGGTTAAGGGGCGCGCGGGCTTAGCAACACGAAACTGAGGCATGGTAAGCCATGGGAAAGGAAGAAGAGAAGGGCACGAGGAGGGGGAGGCACTCACTTATGTACGTTGAGGACAACGAATGAATCTAGGAAGGGGAAAGTGTTACGAATCGGCCTGCGAGCAGGCCGCATACAAAGCTGTGACGACAGCCAGAACAAGAGAGGAAGCTATACCGGGAAATCACGTGTGAAGAACCACGGCACGGATCACGTGATACGCTTAGCCGGCTCAGCCCTAGGAACGCTGAGCACCGCTGAGCACCACTCGGGAATGCTTAGACGTGCTCAGTGTGCTTGGCCTGAGCACCACTAAGCGGGACTGAGCAGTAACGAATATATATACACGGTCGTTCTATAGCTTTACCACGTAGTTAACTTCGTTCACGATCATACCTATACGTTTTGGACTATGATCACTTCGCTCTAGTACTCGCTCAAGTACTCCGTTCTCAGCGACCTCGCCTCCTATACTTCCCACTTATCAAGGAACGATACGTGCAGTGACACCCCGGGTGGAGCGAAACGTAACATAACACTTATATAGCTTATTATAATATTAATAAATCTTTTATAAAGACTTAGATTAGTAACACTCTCTTTATAGACGCTTTTATATTGCCACTATTTTCTTAAGAACCTCTTCTATACTGAGTATATAGCATAAAACTAGCTCTTAATACTTCTTAAGATTTCAATAAATATCCATGATAGCGAATATCAATTTATATATTGAAAAGAGATTCAGTAACTCGCGAAGTTCTCTCTTAACTCTTATCTAATTTATAGTCTAAGTTTTCAAGAGTATCCATATAATCTTTTTAGTATCGTTAGATTTTAAGAATAAAAAGAAGAGCTAATTTAGCGTTAGATAATTAATATAATTGTCACTCATTACTAAGTATCGCTAATAATTCTTTAAGCGTAATATATAGAGCTCTATATACTTTACAAAGAACTATAGATCTTAGTTATATTCTAGGTTTATCGAATTTTATATATTTAAAGCCTTCTTAACCTTCTTCTTCTTAATAGACTTAGTAAAGACATTAGAATTATTCACATTAAAATCATTATTAGCGAAGTCAATATTATTCACTTTATTATCACTAGAAGTAGTATTATTTAAAACATCACTAAAGCCCTTAAACTCAAAAGTATCAGCTTCACTATAATTATCTAAACTCTCTTGATAATTATCTTGTTTCTTGGGTACAACTCTAGCTAGGGATATTGTAGTTAAGACTAATTCTGAAGTAGATATAGATATAAAAATAATTATAAATAATATGGATAATATAGAGTCGATTATAACATTATAAGTAGAAATAGCCTAAAGAAGAAAAGCTTCTATTTTAAAGAGAGTCGATAAAAGAAGTGACGACAAGATTAATATAGATCTAAATAGTGTAAGAGTTTCTATAGAGATAGTAGAATCCTCAATTATTATCTTAATGTCTTGAAAAATATTCTTAGGTCTAGAGATTAGCTTTAAAGATACTAGAAATTCAATAGTAATTATCTTAGTGTTTATAAACTTAACAACTTATAAGATATTAATAATTCTAGTTATATTAATATTAATTATTTTTATATCTTAATCTATAGTAACTTTAGAAGATCTATCTTAAAGAAGTAATTACTTAAGCTAAGAAGTTAATATAGAAAACATAATAATGTCTTCGTTATTATTATTACTATCTAGAGCAGGCTTAAACTTATTATTAACTATTTATCTCTTAAAGTCTTAAAGATCAATATATATCTACGACAAGAACTATATTCTGTTCACTTTCTACGCTTTATAAGTAGCCATAATAGCTAAGAACTTAAAATCTTGCTTTAAACACTCTTAATTATACTTATTATCATTATAAAAACTATTAATATTTATAATATTCTTTAGAATTATTTATATAGTCTTAATAAATTATTCTAGCGCCTTATTAAATAGAGAAGTAATTAGTCTTAATATTATAAAGAAGAAAGCCTTTCTCAAGACCTTTATAATATTTTATCTTTTATCTTTATCTGCTCTTTTAATATTATATAGCTAATCTAGAAAAGAGCGACCCTCACTAGCTATATAAATAATAAAATTACTATAATAGTCCCAAGATATTCACGCAGCTAATTAAACTTATTGATCCTTAATCTTATCGATAGTCTCTTAACATAATCTTTTTAAACTTCTTTTATAGTTATTAACTTTGTTCTTCACTTCTTTTAGATAGCTTTATAGAGGTATTAATTCCGTAGAATAAATATAGTAAATAGCTAAAAGGTAAGAATATTACTTAAGAAGCTAAAAAAGAGGTTTATTAATTATAATCTATATAAGTTCTGTATAACTAATAATAGTTATTTAGATTTTAAATAGCTTAGCTTCTAAAACTAAGTTATCTATATATTCTATATCGTGTAAAAAGGTCTAAAGATCTTGGATAGTAATATTAATGAAGGATATCTGAGAAACTACTAAACTTTAGACACTAGGGTTTGAAGATCGCTAAATAGTCATGAGATTATCTTCTTTAGTAGACAAGAAGAAAAGTGTTAAGAAGGATATCGTTAAGGCATTAGAATCTTAAGATATAGTGAGTAAGTAAAAAGTGAAGTGAAACTTTGTGTAGAATAAGAAAAACTAATAACGCCACGATATTGTGAGTACTTAAAAAGATAACTAATAATGCTCTTAATAACTAGTAAAGATAGAGCGAGAAGAAGAAGTTATTCTAGGTAATAGTGGCTATGAAAGAAGAGTTTAAGGAATAAGATCAATAGTTATAAGAGCGTGAGAAAGTGATAGAGGAGATAGTGTAAGGATATATTAAATATAGAGCGTTAATAAGATCGCTATATATAATCTTCTTATTAATAGAGATAGTCTTTTCTTACTCGACTCTACGCGATAAGACTATAGAGCTTTATTCTAAGGGTCGTTTATAATCTACTATACTTACTAACTAATCTAGTCATGGCTTAAAACTTATTAATCTCTATAGAAAGCGATATTATTAATCTTTTAGAGTATCGCTAAAGACCGCGTATAAATCAAATCTATTTCCTAGTTAAGAACTAATAAGGGCTATCGAAATAATTATTAAGAGTCTTAGGAATTCGATCATTACTATCTTCTTTTTAACTTAAATCCTGAAATTCTAACAATATACTTAGATCTTTACCTAAGCCTCTATCTATTCCTCGTTAACCTTAATATACTGGTCTCTTTAATGAGGAGCAATATTCACTATTAATCGCCATGCAAGGTTGGTTTTTATGCGTAACTGAAAACCATGTTGTCCTTTCCCTTGTATAAGACTATTTCTTCGCAAGGCTATTCTGATTATATACTCTTAAAGGCGATCTAATATTATATATTCAGCAGAAAGCGGGTGAACGCGGTTTATAGAGTTCGGGGTATCCTTGCTTCACTAAAACTCATGATTCGCTAGACTTCAAACTAAACGCGCACTTTCATTATATTTACCTTAACACTCCACTATATATATCGCCTATTCTCGCAACTAATAACTAACTAAAAGACCACAAGCGATAATAGCGATAGACGCCCTGTAACGCGCCTCTTGATGTATTATCTTTTTCTCTTCTTCTCAATTCGCGCCTCTTCTCTATTTTTTTCTCTCCTAGATAGAATTTATAATTACAGTCACTTTAGCGCGAGTGATAAGTTATTACGTGTAACAGTTTATATTACTGCGCCTAAAGTGACTTAAAGCGCTCTCGCTCTTTCTTTCTTTCATAATAGTAATGACTTCCACTTCTCTCACGACTAAGAGTTATAAACAATACTTATGGGCACTATATCTAGCCACCTTGGGCTGCCGACAACCTTCGATAAGAGGACTCCGCTATTAAGAGCAAAAGAGAGTGAAAATAAGTTAGCTAGCGACTCCTTATAGATAAATAATAATAACACTCTCTTAAGGCATTAATAGTAAAAGTGATAAAGATATACTTAAGCGTGAAAGAACTATAGTTATATTGACGCGATAGATTATATATATATCTTATCTAATCAGGAAAGCGGTGATATTATATACTCAGTAGAAAGCGAGTAAACACGGTTTATAAGGTTTAGGGCACTCTTGCTTTATTGAAACTCATAATTTACTAAACTCCTTACCTTAAACATATAACTCGCTCTCTATATCCACGCTTCACTTCTTTATATCTTCTCACCACGCACCTAGTTCTATATCCACAACAGCGAACCTTAATGGTTCTCACGACTAATGGCGTCGCCTTAGGCAAGTGTAAGAATCGAAAAACAATTAAGGAAACCAGCTAATCTTCATAGAAAGCAAGATCAAGAAAGAAAAAGAAGAGAGAAGAAGGGCAGAAAGATAAGTTCACTAAGTGAAATAATATCTTTCGCACTCGTAGTGAGATTAAACTTCTATAGCTAGCTTATATTTTTATGATTATCTTCTTTCACATTATTCACTATATCTATAGATTCTTCTCGAGAGATATTCTTTCGAACCTAACTCTAGACTTCAGTAAAAGAAACCCAAAAGGAAAAACATAAGAAAATATCTTATGAAGACTAATATATCTCTAAGGCTGCTCTCTATAACTTCACTTCACTATAATAATATATCTTAAGTTATCACTTTTCTTAACTCACTCACTCTCATTAATCTTTCTCTTTTAACATAATTTCTACTCTCGAGCTTATCCTAAAGAGATAGTTTCTTTAGTCTCTCTCGAGATCTTTCTTAATGATTATAGATTCTATTCTAAAACACGATTTATCTATATTCTCGATCTCTTTTATGAAGATTAAACTCAAGATCTCGCGCTAAAATCTCTTAGCAAAACCCTTAATTTTAGCTTCAATATATAATCTCTATCGAAGAGTATATTTATACACGCACTTTATAG